TCAAGCAATGGCCGTCCAAGGTATTCGTAACATTCGTCTCAGAAACCACATCTCTGTTGCTTCTAAATCCTTCATAATCTTCCTAAGTTTCTCACGTATATCAATCAATTTTACAAATGTAGCTTATTTGTATTCATGCTATTTGTTCCTTGCGTACCAGGCTGATGCAACTCACCTTTAAAGGTAATGGCGATCTTATTTATATTAACCATGACCCTTTAGGGAACCATGACGAGGCGGACTGACCAGTATTGGCCCAGGCTGTGTTGTACCACTGCACGTGATTCAGAGCCTATGCTTGCCAACATTATCATCTTTAACTACTTCTTCGCGAAAACGAAACACAGCACAAATTTCACAGCTGATGGAAGAACAATAACATTGTCCATGTTTATATTTGCTGGCCATTCGAGAACCGCTGAACAAATGCGGCGGTATGATAACGAGCTACAGGACTACTGAATGATGCCAGCAATGAAGGGTTTCTCCGTGACAAGAGATTGCATTTTTCTCAGTCAATCAGAGGTTGATTTTTGAATAGCCCTAATATCTATCACCCCTATTGTTGCTACCGTCTGCGGCTGAAAGTCCTCTCTTCAATTCTGCTCACGAAATCAAGTTATTGGGCTCTGTCTCGATGTTAGCTTCTAAGACTGGATCTCCCCCCTCCCTCCTTCCATTCTGCCATTTCTCGATGTTTGCTTTCAAGACTGGACCCCCCCCCCCTCCCCCTTCCATTCTGCTCAAACCATTTAGTTGTTGGTTCATGTGTCGATATTTGCTTCTAGCGCTAAATCTGTCCACCCTTCCATTCTGCTCAAACAATCCAGTTATTGGTTTCTTTATCGATGTTTGCTTTCAACACTGGATCTTTCCACCCTTCTATTCTGCTCAAACCATCCAGCTGTTGGTTCATGCCTCGATGTTTGCTTCTAAGATTGGGTCTTCCCCCTCCCCCCTTCCTTTCTGACTGACTGACTTTTTACCCCACTAGGACATCACACAAGCGATAAACACCCGATGGCACAAAGTGCCACCATGTAGATGAGGATCGCCGTGGAGAGGTCCCAGAAACCGCGTTCAGACAATTGGCCATATTTATGGCCTGCCTATATTGCGGCCCCTGGTAAAAAAAACCAGGGTGGGGCTTCAAATAACAACAAATTTCGTCCTAAAAAGGACGAAACACCTATTGCTAGGTCGTATAATGTAACCTTCCTTTCTGCTCAGACTATCCAGTTGTTGGTTCGTTCATGTCTCGATGTTTGCTTCTAACGGTAAATCTACCCACCCTTCCATTCTGCTCAAACAATCCAGTTATTGGTCTCTTTATCGATGTTTGCTTTCAACGCTGGATCTTTCCACCCTTCCGTTCTGCTCAAACGATCCAGTTGTTGGTTCATGTCTCGATGTTTACTTCTAAGACTGGATCTCCCCCCTCCCCCTTCCATTCTGCTCAAACCTTTAGTTGTTGGTTCATGTCTCGATGTTTGCTTCTAACGCTAAATCTGTCCACCCTTCCATTCTACTCAAACAATCCAGTTATTGGTCTCTTTATCGATGTTTTCTTTCAATACTGGATCTTTCCACCCTTCCTTTCTGCTCCAACTATCCAGTTATTGGTCCCTGTAACACTCAATCTTTCTTCCCTTCCTTTTTGTTCAAAACATCTGACTCTTGGTCCCTGTCTCGACAGTTATTTCTACACAGGATTTTTCTTCTCTTCCTTTCTGCTCAAACCATACAGTTATGGCGTCCTTGTGTCGTCCTTTGCCTCCAAGACTGGATATTTCCAGTTGTTGCAGGAAGAGTAGAACCCAGCGCTGTGTTCTGGTGGTACACAATGGTTCGCAGTACTGTCACCTTCTTCTAAACATAACTTTATTTTATGCACTATTCTGGCAGATATTTTTTGATGAGTACTGGCACCTCTGTTTGTAGGGGAAAATCCATTATATGAGATGTTCACTACTGTTATTTACATTTACTTTGCTTTTCATTTCTGTGGAGTTATTACTGGTTTGTGTGTGTAAAAATATTTTTAGGAATCCTAAATAGCTCAATGATTGGTTTGATGAATGGCGCGATGAATAGATGGTTAGCTGATTGATTGATCATTTTTAAGGTATTAGACGGACAGGTCGACTGAATAATTGATTGACTAATTTTTAGCTCGAATAATTTATTTGAGTCGAGTTGAGTAAGAATTGACATCATAGCACTCGGGGTATTCTAGTGGATGCTCTGTGCGTTTCTTCAGCAGCCAGAGCAGAGTTTCACTGCTAATGGTACCGGTCACAATCTTGTTATATATCCATCTTGCCTTTCCTCTGAGTGTAGTGAGCCGGCCAGATCCTCTGGTTAAATCCAGGTGCCTCATTCTCTCTAGGCCATAATAATCTTCTTTCTCTACTGAGTCCGTTGCTTTTTCCCAAAGGGTCTTGGCCACATCTGTCTTGCCATGTATCAATTAACACCCGGGGGTGTTGTTTGTTTTAGTATCCAGAAGCCATCAGTTGTTAACCCTTAGGCTCGATATTATGGATATCGCAACCTTTCGGCCTTGATTCCATTGTAAATACCGTAAATCTGGGAGAAATGTGGCTTTTCTGCCTACCCCCGGGATTGAACCCGGACCACAAGGAGTTAGTCACCCGGTTTCCGCGCAATCCGGTTTAGCCAACTACGCTAGAGAGCCGGGCACCCGGGGGTGCAGATCCAGCCAATTTGTCTGCCTGTTCATTACCCACCCCGCCGGTAAGCCTGGAGAAAAGATCCAAAGTATAATCACTATCCGTCACCTTTCCAGTAAAGCTTGCCACTCTGCTCGAAGCATCCCTGTCGTCACCTTCCTCAGAATCTGTTACAAATACATTTGTATGCATCTTGTTCTCTAGCCACCGGAGAGCTGCAATGTTAATTTATTTATAAACTGATTGCTTTCAAATTGCTTGATTTAGGTTGACTGTATAATCGATTGGTTTTTAAATAGTGGATTTGTTCATTTTGAATGGATAAATTGACTGACTGATTAAACAACTGATTGATTAATTGTCGACTGATTAAGTTATTAAACGAATTATTGAATGATTGTTTGATAATTGATTGTTGACTGACTGACCTTTTTTGAATAGGATTCATCCAATAGTTGAATGACTTATATTGTTGAATGTTAAACTAAGAATCGACTTCGAAGAATTCGGGACACTCCCATAAGTGATCCATCCCCATCTTCAGCAGCAAAGGAAGGGTTCCAACTTCGATAGAACCAGTAACTGATTGTATATCCGTAACATCTTTCCCCTGAGTGTTGAGCGTCGGCCAGATCTCCTGGTAACTCCTAGCAGTGCCATTCTCCTCAGACCGTAATGATCTATCTCCGCCTCCGCACTGTTCACTCGCTCCCAAAAGGCCCTTACAATATCTAGCTTGTCATACATCAATTCACCACCAAGTAGAGTACAGCCCGCCACTCTGTCTTTGCTTGCTCATTTTCCCAACACTCTGGCATGAGCTAGGGAAAATATCCAAAGGATGCTAACTACCCGGGACCTCTGAAGTGATGTTTGCCAGTCTGCACTAATCATGCCTGTCTTCACCTTTCTCAGTATGCTCTGTGAGTCAGTTAAAATCACGGCATGTGTGTACAGCTGATTCTCAAGCCAGCGAAATGCAGCAGTGACTGCCTCCACTTCCCATTCTCAAACTAGACGGTGTGATTTCGTATGCCAGGCTTTGTTGCACGTCCATTTGATTTTGCTATGAACCCCCACGCACTTCGTCTGCCCCTCAATACAGAGCTATCTGTATAGATAATAACATCAGCTGGGCGGAAATTGTCATTAATCATTTGTTGTACTTCCGATTCTGCAGTGCCGGCTGGCCAATCATTGCACTAATGCTCCAAAGTGATAAGAACCCTACACCAGTCTGAAACTTGCTCGGACACTTTGACCCACTCCTCTCCTCGCCTAAATTTATCAAGCCTGCACACATGTCCAATTATGTCTTCAGTTTGGGCTATCCAAGACCTTCCTCTTTTCAGTCAGTGATACTTAGCTCTACACAGATCAGGAGGTGCTTCTTGTCTGAAACTACTCTGAGATATGACTGTGCGTGCAGAACTGTGAGCCTATCTGCAACAGTAGGCAGTGCAGGTATTGGTTAAATGCTGCTTGATTGAATGGTTGGTTCATTGACTGATTAAACCTTTGATTGATTGACAGTTGGTTGGTTGTGAGTCATCACCCTGTGTCAAAAACATCTAATCCAGAAGATCAAGTATTTATGGCACCATGATGGAATGCAGCAACACGCCCAAAGCAAGAGTAAGACATTGATCAAGTAGAATATGGATTGACGATAATCATCTGGGTAACAACTCGATATCTCAAGATTCAAGACAAGCTCATATACGTGCCGACTCAGTGCCACTCATCCAGAGCTTGACCAACTGTTATTCCTCCCCACGACGCTTGACAACAGAAGCTGCTGACCATAGCGACATTGGTAACAAAATGACGACTGTACATAAAAGAAGTGGACACATAACAATGCATAGGATCTTTCTAGATGTATTAATGCGCACTCATTCCACCAACACAGTGAATGTTTTAACCATGCAAATGTACCACACTTTCTCCACAATTTATTTATTGCAAAACAGGTATATCACCCAACAAGTGAAAGTAGCATACACACACATTCCTGCAACTCTGGGGAAAAAGATTCTCATCTACTTTTAAGTGTCAGTTATCATGAATGCAGTAACTATATTTTTAATCATACGCGCAACTATCAACAAGTGCCACGCCGTTTAGCTGAAACAAACGTTGCAGTCAGAAGAGAATGCAGCGGTGAACGACCTAGGATCTAGCCGACACTCAGACGAACGGTACTACCATTGGGATTGTAACTCCCTGCTGACTGTTGAAGATAAGGACGTAGCTCCTATGGGAATGCCCCGAATGTTGTGATGTCTGTTCTGTAATCAGCTTAACTCATCTCCGCTCCACATTTCCGTAATCGGTTGAACGTTGGTCCGTTAGAACTGACAATATAAATTCCAGTTATTTTATATCAAAAGAGGTCATAGTAACATAATACATAGAAAAGAGTAGTAAAATAGCAAAATAACACACATTTCATTTAGAAAGGATAGAAGGATAACTAGTAAATAACAAAAATTTCATTTAGAAAGGATAGAAGGATAACTAGAAAAAAACACACATTTCATTTAGAAAGGATAGGATAACTAGTAAATAACACAAATTTCATTTAGAAAGGATAGGAGTATAACTAGTGAATAACAGATCTTTTTTAGAAAGGATAGGAGGATAACTTGTAAATAACACACATTTCACTTAGAAATGATAGAAGGATAACCAGTATATAACAATCATTTCATTTAGAAAGAATAGAAGGATAACAAGTATATAACAATCATTTCATGTAAAAAGGATAGAAGGATAACCAGTTTATAACAATCATTTCATTTAGAAAGGATAGAAGGATAACCAGTATATGACAAGCATTTCATGTAGAAAGGATTGAAGGATAACCAGTAAATAACCCACATTTCATTTAGAAAGGATAGGAGGATAACTAGTAAATAACACATTTCATTTAGAAAGGATAGGAGGATAACTAGTAAATAACACATTTAATTTAGAAAGGATTGAAGGATAACTAGTAAATAACACACATTTCATTTATGAAGGATAGGAGGATAACTAGTAAATAACACACATTTAATTTAGAAAGGATTGAAGGATAACTAGTAAATAACACACATTTCATTTAAAAAGGATAAGAGGATAACTAGTAAATAACACACATTTCATTTAGAAAGGATAAGAGGAAAACTAGTAAATAACACACATTTCATTTAGAAAGGATTGAAGGATAACTAGTAAATAACACACATTTCATTTAGAAAGGATAGGAGGATAACTAGAAAATAACACACATTTCATTTAGAAAGGATAGGATAATTAGTAAATAACAAATATTTCATTTAGGAAGAATAGGATAACTAGTAAATAACACATATTTTATTTAGAAGGGATAGGATAACTAGTAAATAGCACAAATTTCATTTAGAAAGGATAGAAGTATAACTAGTGAATAACAGATCTTTTTTAGAAAGGATAGGAGGATAACTTGTAAATAACACACATTTCACTTAGAAATGATAGAAGGATAACCAGTATATAACAATCATTTCATTTAGAAAGGATAGAAGGATAACGAGTATATAACAATCATTTCATGTAGAAAGGAAAGAAGGATAACCAGTATATAACAATCATTTCATGTAGAAAGGAAAGAAGGATAACCAGTTTATAACAATCATTTCATGTAGAAAGGAAAGAAGGATAACCAGTATATAACAATCATTTCATGTAGAAAGGAAAGAAGGATAACCAGTTTATAACAATCATTTCATTTAGAAAGGATAGAAGGATAACCAGTATATGACAAGCATTTCATGTAGAAAGGATTGAAGGATAACCAGTACATAACCCACATTTCATTTAGAAAGGATAGGAGGATAACTAGTAAATAACACATTTCATTTAGAAAGGATAGGAGGATAACTAGTAAATAACACATTTAATTTAGAAAGGATTGAAGGATAACTAGTAAATAACACATTTAATTTAGAAAGGATTGAAGGATAACTAGTAAATAACACATTTAATTTAGAAAGGATTGAAGGATAACTAGTAAATAACACATTTAATTTAGAAAGGATTGAAGGATAACTAGTAAATAACACATTTAATTTAGAAAGGATTGAAGGATAACTAGTAAATAACACATTTAATTTAGAAAGGATTGAAGGATAACTAGTAAATAACACATTTAATTTAGAAAGGATTGAAGGATAACTAGTAAATAACACATTTAATTTAGAAAGGATTGAAGGATAACTAGTAAATAACACATTTAATTTAGAAAGGATTGAAGGATAACTAGTAAATAACACATTTAATTTAGAAAGGATTGAAGGATAACTAGTAAATAACACATTTAATTTAGAAAGGATTGAAGGATAACTAGTAAATAACACATTTAATTTAGAAAGGATTGAAGGATAACTAGTAAATAACACATTTAATTTAGAAAGGATTGAAGGATAACTAGTAAATAACACATTTAATTTAGGAAGGATTGAAGGATAATTAGTAAATAACACATTTCATTTAGAAAGGATTGAAGGATAACTAGTAAATAACACATTTAATTTAGGAAGGATTGAAGGATAACTAGTAAATAACACACATTTCATTTAGAAAGGATAAGAGGATAACTAGTAAATAACACACATTTCATTTAGAAAGGATAAGAGGATAACTAGTAAATAACACACATTTCATTTAGAAAGGATAAGAGGATAACTAGTAAATAACACACATTTCATTTAGAAAGGATAAGAGGATAACTAGTAAATAACACACATTTCATTTAGAAAGAATAAGAGGATAACTAGTAAATAACACACATTTCATTTAGAAAGGATAAGAGGATAACTAGTAAATAACACACATTTCATTTAGAAAGGATAGGAGGATAACTAGTAAATAACACATTTCATTTAGAAAGGATAAGAGGATAACTAGTAAATAACACATTTCATTTAGAAACTAGTAAATAACACATTTCATTTAGAAAGGATTGGAGGATAACTAGTAAATAACACATTTCATTTAGAAAGGATTGGAGGATAACTAGTAAATAACACATTTCATTTAGAAAGGATTGGAGGATAACTAGTAAATAACACAAATTTCATTTAGAAATGGTAGTAGGATAACTACTAAATAAAACACATTGCGGTTACATTGGTAAGGGGAAACGGTGAAAAGAAAATACGTACATTGGTATCTAGGATCGAATGCCTAAACTCGCACATCTTAGAATCTGAACAAAACTTTCAAGTATATTTAGTCTCGGATAAGAAACGCTTTTTTGAAAACCGGTAGCCTTGTACATTGCGATCATGGAGGCATATTGTCTGGGGGAGGGAGAGGGATGTTGAGAGAGAAAAGTGAAAGATTTAAGACGAGAAAGAAAGTGATTTAAGGGAAGAAAGTAAGAGATTTAAGGGGAGAAAGTCAGAGACTCAAAGGGAGAAAGAAAGTAAAAGACTGAAGGAGAACAGTTAAAAAGTGAAGGGCTGTTACAAGAAAAGAGATGTCCCCATCGGTTACTTACTCTGTTTCAATCCCATATGGACAGCAAAGATAGTCAACAAGATGGCAGCGATAGACACGGCGATCAGAATGGCAAACTCCTTCCTTTTCGGGGATGCATCACTGTTCTGCTTTCCTATACACACAGTAGCGTCAAAAAACAAGATAGGTCATTATGATAATACTTATAATTGCAAGAAACGACAGCAGACCACTTTGCGCTGATTTAGATACAAGTGCAGGCGTCACCTGGGAGCCCCCCTGATGAAGCGGTTGGACTCGCCTACTGATTGGAAGGTCATGGGTCGACCTGGAAGTCCAGCAAACTGCTAAACATTAGTTGGTACTATTGTTTTATTTTCTCCTAGGGAGTTTCCCGGACATTCCTAAACCACACGGATAATAGGGTTGGGGCCTATCCTAGAATGTAACAGCAGCTGCTGCAGTATTGATGACATTACCCATCCACCGTGTGTAGTATGATTTTACAGGACGTTGCAGAACCATCCCTAACTAAGCAATTTTTACCCTCAGTAGTTCTCACTGGCCAGGCTTTGTGCTATGCAGAGTAGAAACTGCATTGTCCATTCAAAGGTCACGTTCATCCCACATCGGACAATACCATAAGTGATTCTTCTTCTCCTGAGTATGTCCAAACGTTTTTAGGCTAACAACTCCAATTGTAGTTTTGGCTGATGTAACGACGGGTGGCTCCAGAATGGTTTTCCTGTTTCGCTGCTCCATCTGTCACACTTTATCCCTGACCCTAATTGGTATCAAAAACAAATCGAGAGGTAGGGTTATAGGTACTCGTTAATTGACAAAGACGAGGGTGTAACGGGTTACCTCTGACGGCAGGCTTCTTCTTCTTCTGCTTCTTCTTCTTCTTCTTCTTCTTCTTCTTCTTCTTCTTCTTCTTCTTCTTCTTCTTCTTCTTCTTCTTCTTCTTCTTCTTCTTCTTCTTCTTCTTCTTCTCCTTTTTCTTCTTCTACTTCTTCTTCTTCTTCTTCTTCTTCTTCTTCTTCTTCTTCTTCTTCTTCTTCTTCTTCTTCTTCTTCTTCTTCTTCTTCTTCTTCTTCTTCTTCTTCTTCTTCTTCTTCTTCTTCTTCTTCTTCTTCTTCTTCTTCTGCGTCTTCTTCTTCTGCTCCTTCTTCTTCTTCTTCTTCTGCTTCTACTTTTTCTGCTTCTGCTTCTTCTTCTTCTTCTTCTTCTTCTTCTTCTTCTTCTTCTTCTTCTTCTTCTTCTTCTTCTTCTTCTTCTTCTTCTTCTTCTTCTTCTTCTTCTTCTTCTTCTTCTTCTTCTTCTTCTTCTTCTTCTTCTTCCTCTTCTTCTTGTCTTCCACCTCATACCTCATCGAAGAGTCAGGGGAAGATGTAATGTTCGCTTAGGAGCTCTGTCAAGAGCGCTATTAAGACTGATTTTCATTTCTGTAAGGCTGTTCCTAATGCCATCACTCCATATTTTCCGAATTCTCAATACCCGTTGTAACGTTTTACTGTGGCTCGCTGTGGCGGACAGTACCAGGGCATTTTTGTTAGGTGTCGAAACCACTTCATTTGTTGTTCTTTGATGACCTGTAAGACTGGCTTTATTCCTAGCATTCATCTGACTGCAGGCTACGTTATTTAATGTCCCTGATTAACTATCTGGACTAAGCTATTGCAAAACTCTCCTGTGTGTGCAGTTAACTTCATATTTGTCTGAGTGTGTGCAGTCACCTTCATATTTGTCCGAGTGTATGCAGTTACCTTCATATTTGTCCGAGTGTATTCAGGTGAACCAGATCTCAAAGAAAAGATATACATAAACATACCTGGCAATCATGTGAAAGGATAACTTACAATCAGATAGGTCACATTTTAATAAATAATAGAAATGCATCAAACATACAACAAGCTAGAAGCTACAGAGAAGCTGAGTGTCACAGTGACCACTACCTGGTTGGTGCAAAAGTAAAATTCTAGGTAAATAGATCCCTCTACGCCAAGTTGCAAAGATCACATCCAGAGTACAATAGAGAAAGATTACAAAAAACATCCACATATCAGAGAAATTTGCAGATGAAACAAAATTGAAACTTTACAGATTCCGTCAGAGGAAGACGTTGACCAAACCTGGATGGATATCAAGAATGTAATTCAAACCACTGCAGAAGAAAGTCTTGGTGTGTCCACCATAAACAGAAAGAACAAATGGTTCCATAAAAGATGTGAAGAAGCAGTCAGTAAGAAAAAAACATGCCAGGCAAATTTGGCTTAATGATACTAGTAACATATGAAATGAAGAAAAATATATAGAACATAATGTAAAGAAGCTACAAAAGTAGTTAGACACCAAAACGAGTATACATGAACTACATTGTCATGGATATGGAAGTTAACCATCAGAATAATGAATCCAGAAAGATTTTCAAAGAACTGAAGGCTGTAAAACAAGGGTATCAAAAAAGCATTCATAGTTTAAAAGATCTCAATGGGAACATGATAAATAGTAATGAGGAAATATGTAGCAGAAGAAAGGAATACTTTGCTGAATTGTTAAACTGTGAAACTCCACTTAATACCTATCCACGGGAAAAGTAGGTATAGCAATGGGTCGTTTTGTTTCGTTTATTTTGCTTTACATTTTCATAGGTAACTAGAGATGCGATCGGGTCCCAAAAAAGCAAATCGAATTGACCGTTATTGAGAAATTATTTTTCCGTGCTCTTTACGTGAAAGATCAAATCAGAACAATTATTAGGAGTTATTGGAGAAATGCTAGGCTTTGACCTGAGATGGTTTTGACGCGTATACAACCGTAAAATGCAAACATTGAGTCATTTAATCTTACTGGGTCGCAGCCGTTTTATGCATTTCCACTATAATTTTTCTGTGGTGGTGTCCATCATTAAAATGATAATATCTCCGCTTAGAATCGACTTACATGCTTACACAAGGTACCATTAGATTTGTAATTTTAATCTTCATATATGCTGTCATGATTTCGTAAGTAGAAACCCAAAATTTAAAACTTCACTAGCATCCTTAGGAAAAGATATTAACATGTGAACCAAATAATGAAGAGCCTGATTTTGAAGAAGTACTGTATGTCATAACCTGTCTTGAACAGCAATCAAGCAGCTGATGCTGATGGAATTGCAGCTGAACTTTTAAAAAGAACGTGGTCATGCATTACATGTGAAGATATAGGAATTAATAAAACTAATTTGGAAGACGGAGAAACTACCCCATGAATGAAAATTATTAATAACCATTTTTAAGAAAGGAGACAAGTATAAATGTGAAAATTATAGAGGAATATCACTATTATCTACAAGCTATAAGATACTATAGGCAGTGCTGCTAAACAAACTGAAACCATACGTCGAAGACATATTAGGAGGTTGCCAAGCAGGTTTCCGACAGGATAGATCAACAACAGATCAGATATTCATTTTACTTCAAAACTTCAGAGCAAAAATGTGAATACAGAAACGATGTACATAATGTTTTTGTGGATTTTTTAAAGGCGTGTGCATAGATAGTGATAGATAGTGTGCATAGAAACAGTTTATGAAATGCTTTGAAGGACTTTGGAATACCAAATGTTTTAATTACCATGACCAAACTATGCATGGATGACACTTCTAATATAGTATTATATAAAGGCAGAAAGTCAGACCCTTTTCAAATAACATCTGGTTTGAAGCAAGGTGATGTTCTATCCCCACTTCTTTTCAACTTGGCCCTGGAGAAAATTATAAGGCAATTGAAACATGAGTGTACTATAGGAGAAACTACAAGAATACTTGGATATGCAGATGACATTGATATCTCTGGAGAAAATGAACTAGAGACTGTTAAAACACTGATTCTCTTAAAAAGATCAGCTCAGAAAGTGGGACTAGTTATCAATCAAGATAAGACAGAATACATGATAATAACTAGAGAGATAAAGGAAATAAACTCCAGCCACATACAAGACGATAATATGACAATCAAACGAACGGAAACGTAAAAGTACTTGGGTGCAAACTTCAACTGCTCTAACATGCTGAGAGAAGAAATATAATCTAGAAAACAATCTTGAAAAAAAGTATACTATGTCCTTCAACATCTGCTAAAGTCAAAGTGTCTGTCTCGCAAAACCAAGATCAAAATATATAAAACGTTGATAAGACCAGTCGTTCTATATGACTGTGAAACTTGGAGAACAACTAAAAAAGATGAAGCCTTATTACTGGTTTTCGAAAATAGAGTCTTAGACGAATCTTTGGCCCCATCAAAGATGCAAACAGCGGGGAATGGAGAGTAAAAAGCAACAACGAAATTCATAATATGTTAAATCACCACTGATCACTGGCATCATGAGAGCTAATAGACTGAAATGGTTGGGTCATATTAAAAGAATGTCAGATGACAGAGAAGTAAAAACTGTAAACACAAGAGAGATGAATGGTCGTATACCACGAGGCAGACTAAGAAGACGATGGAGAGATAATATTCAATCAGACCTGCAAACCAGAGAAATGAATGGAGGCGTGTGATATCTGCAGCAATGAACCGCAAGGGCTCGGAATGCTGAAGAAGAATATACAGGTGTTGTTGGTAATGACAAAAATGAAAGCTGGCAGGTTCCGCATTAATTGCAGATAGCCGGCCCATATATCACGCAGACTTTGCCTGTTCCCTTAGAAAGACAGGACGTTCTTAGGATTTTGGAAGCAACTCGTGTCTACGTCACTGCTAAGAACAAAAGAACTAGGAATGAAGATCGGCACAGCCAAGTACAAGAAGCACACCGGACGCACACGAAATCTTTTCAACCAGCATAGGACTGGCACTATGAACTGCGCCATGCTGATGAATATGTTAAAGGGGCAATCTGAGCAACTGTGGAGGTGTCCGGAGTGCTGTGAAAATAATCCATTTCATAATAACTCATAATTCTGCCTGTGTGCTTTTCAAAGGGGGCTTGGAAGTAGGAACAAATCGCAGGCTGTAAAACGAATACACCAGGTATAAAATGGGGTGATTTAATAATATCCTACCCCAAACAGGGAAAATCCACTTTGGTGGCAGTGAATCCACATCACTCGCCAGAATGGCAGACTTGGGAATTAAGATCGGCACAGCAAAAAACGAGACGCACACCGGACACGTCAGAAGATTTGTTAATCAACACAGAACTGGTACTATTAGCCATCGGACGTTGGGATTCATACTGAGGGGAGGATCTGAGCACCTATGGACATGTCCGGAGTGCAATGATGATAACCCAACTAACTAACTAACTAACTAACTAACAGGGAAAATCCACAGGTCACGTGACAGTCTTATATTTCAGGGGGTGGTAGATAGGTTGGATGCAGTCGGGGGGAAAAGGTTGCACGCATTCGTGGGACGTAGGTGTGGGGGTGGGGGGGGGGGGGGGGGGGGGGGGGGGGGGGGGGGTAGGCCAGTTCTAGATGTTTTGGCGTCGTTAAAAGCATTTTTAAAAAGCCGGTAAACCCAGTCTTACCACCATTTAAAATGTTGGACTGTCCTGTGACGTCATCTGGGGGGTAGCCGAACATAAAATGGATAAGAACTGAGTGTCTGAGGTAAAACACTCTAAATATATTTATATAGCGACAATAACGGTCCTGAAATCCCATGCTCTGGTTGTGGAAAACTCTTCTGAATGCGGGCAGGTCTTGCGTGTTTCATTCGCTATCTCTATGGGCGTTAAGTATACGACTATTTACTGTTTGGAAAGATGAAAAGGTTCAGACAACAACAACAGGAAGATTTGCTATGACCTAATGAACGGTCGGCTCTCCATAACGCTGTTGAAGCAACGATAGGCGGTCTGTTGCTCATTCGACGCAGCTGGGGTCGAACCGGTTACCACATAATTACTAAGCTGGATCGCAACGCCTATGTCACAGACGGTGATCATGTATATATTAGTCTATAACACAACATTCGAGTCAGTGTTATCTAAACTGTCGTTCGAATACCTCTGTTTACTACTTTTCCTGTGTGGGTTCTAGGTGGGTTCCAGTCGTTATTTTTATTTGGGGGGGGGGGGGGCGAGGGGAGCTAGGAGTGTGGAAGAATTGACCTACTGTCTCCATAAAAGCATGTTGTCCAAGGAGAATAATAAGGGGTGTATCCTTCGAAGCCGGAGTGCAACTGCAAGAGAGACGAGAAATCAACAGTCTGTATATACATAAGCCGGATCTGTAAAACGGATGTGCACGCACATCTCAAGTCCTTGAAAAAGCCTCAAATCCAGAAGAAGACCAAAAAACTAGAACTTTCTACTAGAGTTTAAAAGCAATGAACTATAAGAAGGCGAAGACGAAGTTGACCCTACAGTTAGAATTGTGCTGGACAATGGCAGAGGGGTAAAAGTGAGAGGAGGGTGGGTTGCGAGCTCAGGAATTTAAATCTACATGGCTAGTGCAGTCGCCAAACACTGTGCAGATTCAACTTTCTGTTTGCCTCGTCTAACAGAGTAGAGTATCCGTCTCTTGCCGAGGATCGACACCAGACCTCCCGCATGACAGCCTTGAGCGATAACCACTCAGCCAGCCTCTGTACCAAATCTTGAAGGTTAGTTGCGTATCCTTTACAGGACGTTGCAGAACCAGCACTAACAGCCCCTGGCTGTTGTGTGATTTTTCTAGGCGAATTTACGTTCAGTAGTTTGCCATTGCTTTCTGGACGGTCGACTTTCTTGATACCACTGTCGAAACTAACCCGCAATTAAGATCGAACCTTGCATCCCGGCATTACGAAGCGTTCACATCGACTTAGCCACAGAGCCGACTCTGTACCTAAAGAAACAAGGTAAAACATACCTGTCCATAATAGCTCGCAATCCCATTCCCTGACGCTCTCGTTTAGCATGCATGATGACACAGCGAAGGTCAGATTCTTACTGGAGCTGCTTAACTGTGTAAACGTGTAGTTGGCACAGGGAGTTCCCCAACTGACCACCAGTCCATCCACGGTTATGTTTGACCAGCAAGGGCTGGTGTAGTTAGAGCAGCAGAGTCGGATAGTGTTGGGCATTTTGTGTTTGGCTTCTATTTGACATTCGCCAGTGTCCTCGAGCTGTTGTGTTTCTGTGTTCTCCAGTTTCACGAGTGAGGATAAAAGTAAGTCTTGTGGTTCTACGGTTGTATGTGGAAACATAAGTGAGTTTACCTCATTGTATGTTTATATCTATACATAAGAATATATGTCTATATGTTCTATGTATGTTTGGTATGTTTTTAAGTTAAAAGTAAAGTCGGGATGATAGACTTTACGGTGGCAGGTTATTCCATATGGATCTACCCCTCTCTGTAGAATAGCAACCGCCTGCCGAGAGCGTTATACAAAGCACGAACTCCCTAGTTCCAGCGACGATCCCCATAGATGTATGTAAACGTTACACTTGTGAATTGTACGCTCACCCGTAATATGAACACACTACCTTAAGGACGCTACTCAAAACAGCATGACCACTTCGCTAAGTGTGTGTGTGCGTGTATGTGTGTGCGTGGGCGTGCTGTTTGTGAACATATGTGAATTATCTCCAATTTTTGAGGTTTTTAGTTTGTATCGGGGGAAGATATTATGTATGTATGATAAGTTGTGAGTCTGTTGTGTGTATTGTTAGTTTTATAATGTGTGTGTCGTGTGAGTTTTTGTGTGGGTCGTCTTATGAGTTATCAATACTCTGGACGTAAATTTGCCTAGGAAAAAAAACAGCCCAAAAAATATGCTGGAGTTGGTTATTCAACGTCCTGTAAAGGATACGCAATGAACTGTTTTCTGCAATGTGATGTGGGTTAAAGTGCTACATCTTGTATTATGCAGAGTTCAGGTTTTACTATGCCTCATAAGCGTGTCGTAGTGTGTTTACTGATGTGTGTGCTTAACGATGTACATTACAAGGTGTGAGCTGCATGTTATGTGTTGTGCCTGAGTGTAAAAGCGTATGTGCAGGGGAGTTGATGCAAGAAAACCATCGATAGAAGTATCTGGACCCACTTGCATACTTTCTACGGAGTGAGCCACACTAAGCCTTGTTGAGTGCGTAATAAAAATAATAATGTGCCGATTGGCAATAAATACGCTAACATATCTTATATGTGTGGTTAACAGGGCACCTTCTAGCACCTGACATATTTTGCCCTCTGAAATATGTATTAGGACCTCGCGTATCTAAACTGCCGTCCCTAAACGAGAACTTGACTCGAATAACGCGAGATGTCTGGGTGTATCACCTGTGGTTGGATTGAAAACTTGAAAGAAAACTGGCTAGATATTTTATTAAGCAATGCAGTGTATGTTTTCTGCGATCACTTTAATATCATTAACAGAATCCAGTAAAGCATTTTTGGCCACTCTCTTCACAACATTTGCTTTAAAGTTTCTAATGGAGGTCTACATTTTCCCAGCCTCTCGATTTCCGCAGTCAGCGTCTCGCCATTGTCTGTTCGTCTGTTCTCGGAGTGTGTTCAGCATAGGGCCATCTTCTCTGTCCAGATATTTATGTTAACTCTTCACTGCTTTTGAATTCACCTTATTTTATATCCATGATTTTTCGCGGGTATTTGTTGAATGTAATATACTGGCGTGTGTTTGTGTGTGTGTGCGTGCGCGTGTGAGTGTGTGTGTATGTGTGTGTGTGTGTGTGCGTGCGTGTGTGTGTATGTGTGTGTACGTGCGTGCGTCTGTGTTTGTGTGTGTGGGTATGTGTGTGTGTGTGTGTGCGTGTGGGTACGCGTGTGTTTGCGTGTTTCTTCTCCCGCTCTTAGTGTGATTGTTCCATTCCCCTTGTGAGAAATCATTCTGGGCTTGGACATCGACAACAGTAAAGCTTTTCAGCGGCATCCAGCTGAAATGTTCACACTGAAAAAGCTGCCTAAAATTAAAATGCTCTGGTATTCACATGCAGTTCTTCTTGCTTGTGCTGTGAAACTCGTGCACTGTTGGGGGTGAACATTTAGGAAGAGTTGACTTTTTCAAAATGAAATGGCGGTTAGTTCCGTGTGATCTTTAGCACGACAAAAACCAACGCTACTTGTTGTGTATGCCATTGCTTCAGCCGTCAAGCATTATCTCTCTTGGTCTTGCCCTGCCTCTTCTACTGTTGATCTTTCCGGTCATCGCGATGATCTCCAATGTCTCTCGTCTTTTTACATGACAAAAGAACACCGACTGCCTCTTTCTTATAGGTGCCCAAAAAAAAATTCAAATTTTCTTTGGCAATATTTTACAATTTCATACTCCACACATGCAGACCAAGAAATAAAAGCATGAATAGTGAGTTTCTTACTGTAAACTTTGCTGATGGTCAACTCGTTGCTGATAACGTGGTTAGACCCATTGCTCTTTTCCCAGCGAAGCCGACCAGAGAAGCCACTCAGGGAGGACTTTGCAGTTACAGCGACTGTGATGTTGTATTTCCTAGGACTGGTTGAGATGGAGATACAGCTTGACCCCACAGGGCTTGCTAGGTTCAGGTCAATGGTGCAGTGCTGGGGAAATCCAGAAATGTGAGATGTTATTCTGGAATTATGGGGAAATCCAGAAATGTGAGATGTTTTTCTGGAATTATGGGGAAATCCAGAAATGTGAGGTGTTATTCTGGAATTATGGGGAAATCCTGAAATGAGAGATGTTATTCTGGAATTATGGGGAAATCCAGAAATGTGAGGTGTTATTCTGGAATTATGGGGAAATCCTGAAATGCGAGATGTTATTCTGTAATTAACAACAGCCACCCACGATGAGCAGAAGGATACTTCACAGACATACAGTTAAAACTTAGTCGTGTAGCCTTCGCAGGACGTTGTGACGCATTTTGTCCCAGGTGTTTGTGCTTTAACTGTACAAGTTTACGGTCAATAGTTTGCCACTGAGCTAAACGATCGGTTTTTGATACTATTATCGAAACCAGCGCAAGAAATATGCTGGCAAATCGCCGGCAGGTGGATCGAACCCGGCATCTCGGCGTAACAAAGCGTGTCAGTAATGAAGTTACATCACCGAGGAAGTGAGAACATTGCAATAATCTTCTTCTTATTTTTGTTCAGGGCTTTCCGAACCCTTGAGGTTTATTGTTGTCGATATCACCAGCCTCCACTTATTTCCCTGGTTGGCTTCTTCTTTTCAGTTTTTGACACCATGTGTTTGCAAGTCTGTCTGGACATGATCTCTCCATCGTCTTCTTGGCTGCTTCGTGGTCTACGACCATTCATCTCTTCCTTATGTATACAGTTTTTACTTAACTGTCATCTGACATTCTTTCAATGTGCCCTATTTCAATCTATCAGCTCTCACGATGCCAGTGATCAGTGGTGATTTAAACAGATTATGAATGTGATTTTTGCTTCTCTCTCCATTTCCCGCTGTTTGTATCTTTGATTGGTCCAAAGATTCGTCGTAGTAAGGATTCGTTTGTTTTAGTCGTGTTTCAAGTTTCAGAGCCATATAAAACGACTGGTCTTATTACCTTTTTTTTTTTTTTTTTTGATTTTAGTGTTGGGAGACAGACGCTTTGAATTTAGCAGATTTTGAAGGGCATAGTATACTTTATTTCCAGATTGTATTCTAGATTGTATTTATTATCTCAGCCTGTTGGAGCAATTGAAGTTTTTGCACCGAAGTAAAATTGCAATAATACTCGTTTTATCTGTATGTATTTATATTTATATATATATATACATATGTGAAAGAGGAAAGGTTCCGCGCCGAGTACCACCAGAGCTTTGCACCTCACTCTGCACCAATCTCAGAAATGAATGAAATAATGGCTTTATTTGTCCGGATATTGCCATACGTGCTCTGTCTCACGTATTCAACCTTGACTTCACATGTTGATGGCACATAGTTTCACGCATGACAAGCCAGGTGTAGTCAAGCCAGATGTAGACAAGCCAGATGTAGAGAAGCCAAATGTAGTCAAGCCAGATGTAGACAAGCCAGATGTAGACAAGCCATATCTAGACAAGCCAGGTGTAGTCAAGCCAGATGTAGACAAGCCAGATGTAGTCAAGCCAGATGTAGACAAGCCAGATGTAGACAAGCCAGATGTAGACAAGCCAGATGTAGACAAGCCAGATGTAGACAAGCCATATCTAGACAAGCCAGATGTAGACAAGCCAGATGTAGACAAGCCAGATGTAGACAAGCCAGATGTAGACAAGCCAGATGTAGACAAGCCAGATGTAGAGAAGCCAAATGTAGACAAGCCAGATGTAGACAAGCCAGATGTAGACAAGCCAGATGTAGACAAGCCAGATTTAGACAAGCCGGATGTAGACAAGCCAGATCTAGACAAGCCAGATGTAGACAAGCCAGATGTAGAGAAGCCAAATGTAGACAAGCCAGATGTAGACAAGCCAGATGTAGACAAGCCAGATCTAGACAAGCCGGATGTAGACAAGCCAGATGTAGACAAGCCAGATGTAGACAAGCCAGATGTAGACAAGCCAGATGTAGACAAGCCAGATGTAGACAAGCCAGATGTAGACAAGCCAGACGTAGACAAGCCAGTCATGGTCAAGCCTTTTGGAAGGCCAGTGAACGCGCGGTACCACAAATCAGTCATCATGGTCTGAAGAGATGATACAACGGGTAGTGATCCAGGGATCTGGTCGTTACTCAACACTCATGGTCAAGGAAATGGGGACTACTAGGTGTAACATTGGAATTGGAACTCTTAGCTAACTGCTGAAGATTGGGACTGGTTGCTTAAGGGTGTGTCCTGAGTACTGCGATGTGGGTCTCTAAATGAGCTCAATTGAACACAACCCAATGAAATGATAGTGAAAGTTGCAGCTTGATGACAAGTCTGCCCGACTTTTCTCTGAAGCTTTGAGTGCTGTCCTGACCCTCTTGTCACTAGCCAGTAAATGACTGATTGCAGCACAGCTGTGGTTGATTTACCAGTCTGTGCATGGCGATGATTTCTGAACCAGTACCGGGAAGAAAACAGTTCTTCAGATAGTTTCACTGTGGACAGACAGGTCAATGCAGAAGTTTCCTCTACCTAGAAGATGAGTGAAGGTATTACTCACGTCTTTAAAAACTCCACCAGTTTGGCCCAACTCAAAGATGACAGTGTGCGACCACTCGCCGACATTTACTCCCGTGGTGTCGGCTGAACCTTGAAAGACGAGGCTGTCCTTGGAGTCTCTGAGTCCGTGGCTACATGGCGACAATAGTTTGAGCTTTGTCAGGTTCAAAGACGGCGTCCGAGCATCTTGGGGAAAGAGAATCAACACCGGGATACACTAAATTATAGAGAATCTAGGATAGGACTCATCCATAGACACGGTCATTAGATAACAGACTAAGAGAAAGCAGACGTCAAGGTATGTGTATGGACAAGAATACATAGGGACGATCATCATTATGGATTTGGTACTTAGAATGACGCCATCCGGCCCTCTGCCAACATTTCGGCCTGGTGAACTTTTGGGGCCATTGTGTCCTTGATATCACGTGCCCACCGTCGTCCTGGTGCAAGAACCAGGCTCTGTTCAACTAATCACAGTGATGATAACATTTGCAACTTGATTAACTGTCCTTTCCTCTGAGTTTTGAATTCATGATTGAGAGGCGCCACAAAATACAGAACACGTTTCTCAGTCATACTCGCTTCATGCACTAGAGAGTTCTTATGTCATTACTGTTCTCTCCAAACCATTGCAGTATGTAATATTGCTAGAGGATTTCACTTTACTAAACGTGTTTGTATACAAGCCAGTCCTCGGTGTTCAAATAAGAAGATGTCTTCTTTTCTTATTTCATGACACTCTAAGGAACTTCCTGTAATGTTTAAGCTCAAAATTCTAGAGAAGTGGGCATCAGCCGGCCACATGTACACGAAATTCAAGACTGGGGACTCCGAACTGAGCACGTGTTTCTTGAATGTTCTCAGCATGCAGTAGAGAGGTCTCGTGTCTGGCCCATTGGCATCACACTGGGAATCATGTTGTGTAAATCAGGGGAGGACGGGCGTCGACCCATAACCTTCATAGATGACTGTGACCTTCTCGTTCGAAAACCCGTGTCTCCATATTGTTCACTCGCTCGCAACGTGCCTTGACCACATGGTTTGGAAGAACGAACGAACGAACGAACGAACTTTATTTTCAAAGGGTTACAAATTGGGAACGTAGGCTTGTCTTGAACGTGTCCCTTCCAAGCACCCATCTTTCAGACCACACTAGCATGTTATCTTAATGCATGCTATGTACATGTATACAAATGTAGATAATGAAATATTGCATACGCTATCTCACTCAAAAATACACAGACTCATATAAAAATATGTATATGTACTCATTTGTGCATGCGTGCAAAAACGCCTACATACAGAGACATTTACGTATACACACATGCATACATATATACACACACATACATACATATATACATATATACACACACGCACACGCACACATACACACGCACAGACAGACATACACGGACACAAACATAGTCATGGGGAAGGTGGGTGTATTGTTGCAGGGAAAAAAATAGACAGAGGTCATCAAACCAGTGCTGGACACCGGACAACAGCAACACTTTAGTCGCAAAGGTTCACAAGGTTAGTCGCTGTCTCTGGGACAGTCGGGCCTGACAAAGATACTCACCTTAACCTTAACCCCAACCCATAACCCTCCTAGAATAATGGACTTGTCCGGGAACTCTGGTATTTCCTTTGTTTTGGGTCAGTAAAATGAATGTACCCAACTTGCTCCTCACCTGTGAGATAAAATAGCCAGATCAAGCGCACCAGCTTGGTTAGCCTCGCCATGTTGGATATTTCATTCTACCAGAACCGAACAGTGTTGTTAGAAATGATGCAGCGAGTTTCGTATCTGACCTTGTTTAGATCAGAATTCAGAATGCGAATTCCAATGAGAATTAATTGTTACTGAGTTAATTATCACAGGATAGATGGAGTAATGACTTTGCCTGCTTGACTGGTATCTAGCAAGTTGTGCTCTGTAGAACGTTCATCTTGTGTATCAGTGATAACACCACACACAACGATGACGTTTTGCTCGAAACACAACGCGTAAGCACAAGTGTCAACTTTCTCTTGTTCTCCTTATCATTATCATCTTCATCAATTTCCATGTCTATGCTTAAGTGCCGTGGGGAGGAGCAGTTTGTGATCCTTTATGGGTGGCAATAGCTGTTGTCTTTCGGTGTCGATGTAAAAGCTCTTTAATGCCATCAGTCCATTTTCTCCTCTTGATTTCACATCAGATCTTTTCATGTGTAGCGCGTGCGTTGGTGTTTGCTCTCGTTGCATTCCTATTAGATGGCCAAAACCTGTTGTCTTCTGCTTCTCAATAAATCTGCTGCAAAGCGTTGTTCCCAGTGTCTAAGATATTTCTGACTTTGTCTTACATAGTGAAGTGGACGTGCTTCCTCAAGCGTCTTATTTCACGTGTGTTTAATGTACATAGGATTGGCTTTTGACAATGTCTAAATAACTGTAGCTCGTCTGCTGTGTGTGATTGATATTCCAGTGCCTGTCTTAAATTTATGTCTTTTCTCTACTTCTTCTTCTTTTGCGTTCGACATCAGTCATGCTACACATTGAGTCCCGTCTGGGTCAAAAATAGGATTGTGCGTTTAAGGTCGCCACCGGTCCCCCATAGCTTCTCTCGCAATGTGGATCCCCTGGGCCAGATCCACAGTCTTTGCTGGGAGAGGTAAGGGCAGTGCTGCAGTATGTGCTCAGGCGTCTGTCTTTCTGCTCCACAATCACAGGCAGCAGATTCTTTTATGCCTATCATGTACAGGTGTGCTCGAAGACCACAGTGTCCGGTCCGAAGTCTAAAAATTGATGTTTGTTCTTTCCTGTTGAGTTTGTTTATGCTGTCACTCTCTGGTCTGTAATCTCTATTCTGCTTTCTCCACTCCAGCTTGAAAGACTGCTTTAGTGCTGTTTTGGTTTCCTTGTAGCTGTGTGGTGGATGAGATTGTGGAAGATTACTCCCAGCTTTTGCCAACTCATCTGCTCTCTCATTTCCTTGAATACCACAGTGGGCTGGTATCCACTGCAAGACCAGTTCTGCTTCCTTGGGGAGTAAGCCGATGTTGGTCCTTAGATCTGCAATTAGTTTGTCTTGTTTTTTGCTTGATAGTGCTTGGAAAACAGACAATGAGTCACTAAGTATATCAATTTTGTGCCATCTGTGTTCTTGAGTGATGAGATGTTGGACTGCAGAAAGGAGGGCAGTTGCCTCAGCTCTAAAGTTAGTGTACATGTCACCTGCTGGTAGAGAGAGAGTTTCTGCTCTACTGCTAGGGGGTTTAATGTATATTCCACAACCCCCCTTTCTGACTGCATCTATATCAGAGCCGTCGGTGAAAACCTGAGTCCAAGTGGTGTTTGGATACTTCTCATCAAGCATAGCAAGAGATGGTTCTCTGTTGTGTCTCCGTCTGGGCCTCTTTTGAAGTGATCCCTGGTACCTTTAGAACTACATTTGCCTTTTCTGGCTTGCTTGTCCATGGTTCTGGCCTAAGTTTTTCGCACAGAGCTACATCTCTTTCAAGCAGATCTTGGTGCTGTCTGTACAGTTCTCTAGCAATGTGGTTGGGGCTCTGACGCTTCAGTCTGTTTTTTGTTCTCTCTTGAAATTTAAAATGCAGTGGGTGACTTTGAAGTGTTTTTAATTTCTCATACTGTAAAAGAGTTTTGTATTGTCTTCTGAGTTCGAGTGGTTCAGTATCTGCTATCCTCTCTATCTCTCTGATGGGAGTGGATTTCATGGCTCCGAGAACAATCCTTAATCCCATATTCTGAACCTTGTCCAGTTGTCCCATTGTTGTCTTGGCTGCTGCAGCCCATGCAGTGGAGGCATATTCCATGACTGGCCTGGCTGCTCCAGTATATACTTGTTTTAGGATTCTGGAGTTAGCTCCCCATGTGGTACCCGCTAATTTTTTCATCACTGCAAGCTTCTTGAATGTTTTCCCCTGTACTGCTTCTACGTGGGACTTCCAAGTTAGTCGCGAATCAAGTGTACCGCCAAGAAAGGTAGGAGTGTCAGTCTGTGGAATGAGCTGGTTTTTTATCCGAATTTCGATTTTTTTTTCTTTTTTGGGGGGAAAAAGAGAAAAGTGATCCTGTGCTTTTTGAATTATTTAGCTTTAGACCCCACTTTTCGGTCCAGGCTTCTACATTTTCCAGTTTTCTGTCTGTTGCTTTCTTATCCTTACGTCCTTTTTAGGACGTAATTTTTTGTTTTTTGAAGCCCCACTCTGGCTTTTGCCAGGGGCCGCAATATAGGCAGGCCATAAATATGGCCAATTGTCTGAACGCGGTTTCTGGGACCTCTCCACGGTGATCCTCATCCACATGGTGGCACTTTGTGTCATCGGGTCTTTATCGCTTGTGTGATGTCCTGGTGGGGTAGAAATTCATTCATTCATTCACAGTTTTCTGTTACAGATATGAGGCTGTGGTAGTGTATTCGGAAGCTGTCCAAACTGCAAAGTCATCAGCATGTAGGGTATTATAAACGTGCTGGTGGCAGGTTGCTGTGATATCATTTATTTAAACCAGGAACAGATTTGGTGCTATCGCACTGCCCTGGGGAACTCCTTCTCTTAGTTTTGCCAGTTTGCCGACGTGTCCATCAATTCTTAATCTGGCTCTGCGTTGAAAAGAAAGTCTTTGATCCACCTGTACATGTTATGCATAACTCCTGCCTGTAGCAGTTTTAGTTGTAGGCCTTCTTTCCAAGCTGTATCGAAAGCACGAGAGAGGTCAAAGAAGACAGCAAGAACTTTCTTTTTTTTTTTCCTGGAAGGCATTCTCTATGTTCTGTGCCAGATATGTTAACTGGTCCTCTGTGTTTCTGTGCTGTCTGTATCCTGTCTGTGTGGTGGTGATTAACGAGTTTGTCTTCAAGAACCATATTAGTCTTTTATTTACTAATTTCTCCATCAATTTTCCTACACAACTAAGAAGGCTGATGGGTCTGTAGCTTTTTGGGTCTCTTCTGTCTCCACCCTTTTTAAGGATAGGCTGGATGAGAGCTTCCTTCCAGGCTGACGGTACCACACTTTTTTGCCAGCTCTGGTTGTAAATGCAGAGAAGAAACTTCTTGGCAGCAGGTCAAAGATGAGAGAGAAATTCGTTTGTAATGCCATCAGCCCCTGGGGCTTTCTTCATTTTTAACTCTCCAATTCCAACTTCCAGCTCTTGCATAGTAAACTTTTCTGACATGCAGGCCTCGGTTGTTTTTGTGCTAGAGTCTGCTAGAAGAGTCTTGGCCTGGTTTCGTACTTCTTTTATTCTTTGCATGGGAATATGAACCTCAGTTTCCTTCTGGTGTGTTTCAGCTAGCACATATGCTGCTGCCTTGCCAGTAACAGCTCCATCGTCTGTTAGGAGTACAACTCTGGCTTTTCTGTCTTGTCTCCATTCAGGCTTTTTGTGAGATTCCACAGACGTGAAGTGTCCTTCTCGAGGTTAAATGATGCTGTATTTTTGTGCCAGCTTTCCCTCATCTGATTATTTCTCTCTTTGAGAAAGGCTGCTTTTGCTCTGTTATGAAGTATTATATTTTTATCTGTCGGATCCTTCTCCATATTTTCTCTCCTGGTACTCTCTACTTCTAACAAGGGGGCTGCGTGGTCGCGAGGCATGGTATCCCCCTCGAGTGCTAGTGAGTTCAATCCCAGGTGAGGGCTGGGATTTTTTCACGTGGACTTAGAATTCTAGTAATTCCCCCCCCCCCCCCCCCCATCTCTGGGTAGTGGGATCGGACGCCCGTGTGAATCGTCGCGCACGTAAAAAATCCATTGGCAGTTTTAAATCGAAAAGAGTAGACTAACGGCTCTGCCCGGGCAAAATTTGTAGTTAAAAATCTACCCAAAGTTTTTCAGGATCCTCGCAGGTGCTACAGAGCTTGTGCACTGTGTTGAGCTTCTTGGGACTAAGACTTGAGTTAGAAGTAGAATGTAGCACTTATGGGTTACTACCCGTGTGCCATAATGTTGATCTGTTGTTCAAACTTCTACTTCTAATTATGGAGAGGAGCGGCTGGCCAAACGGTTAGAAACACTCGACTCTAAAGCGGGAAACCCAGGTGCGAATCCTCGGTAAGGCTAGGGATTTTTTTTTTCTGTCGGAGGCAAAATAAAATCCTCACCTGCAAATTCCGTGGCGACAGTACTAGCCTTGCGGCCTTAAATCCTCAGAGACGTGCCGGCCTGCACCCTAAAAGGGGTAAAATAAAGGCAGTAATTAACAGCTTATATGTAATTTAACAAAGATGGCGCCCTTCACATTTCGGATCTATTAAAACTCAACAACTGTTTTCAGTACTGTTTGGCAAAGTAAAATACTCAAAATTTTAAAACTCTAAATTCTGGTCCTAAGGACGTTATGTTGAGAAGCTCACTGTCCTATGATATTAGTTAGTTAGTCTTTCCTCTTGTGTCGAGTGCGGCACATAGGGCAGAGGTCATGACTCTCCATGCATGGCGGTTCGTTGCAATCTGTTGTAGGTCTTGGATGTTTGAGTGGCCCATGAGCGAGCCTTCCCTGATGATAGTTCTACGTAGGGTTTCCCTTGGTCTTCCACGAGATCTTTTCTCCTGTGGTGTCCAAATGAGGGCTTGGTAAGGAAGTCTTGATTTATCCATTCTAAGGGCGTGGCCGACATAGTTCCAGCGGCGTTGTCGTATAAAATTAGACACATACTCTTGCCTGGATTCTTGCCTTATTTGTGTATTGGTATATCCTATGATAAAACGAGACGCACACCAGACACGCCAGAAGAC